TGTTATGTCTCTGTCCTAGAAGTACACTTTTGTGCATATGTAAGATGTTACCAGCCAAAGACCACTTTCCAAATACTATGTAAAATAAGATGCATGTGATAGTTGGAAAAATTCAAGTAAATTCTTTACTAGTGCATAAAAGGAGTAGGCCAGCTGGATAGCTCCCTCAGCCCTGTTCCCCTCTAGCCCTGGTCCTTCAGGCCAACTAAGGAGAGTCTCTATTCATCTTAAGATATTTCATTTAGAACAAGTGAAGTTCAATTAATTAAAATTTTCTAAGAAAAACACAAGTATGAGCAAGGCCAAGGCTCGGGGGTGGGAAGAGTGGGGAAAACCCAGACCTGCAAACTCTGAAACCCACAGCTGCACTCTCACATCTTGAAATAAACGTTCTCAAGAACGGAGGTTTCTGTTGCTCCCATTTAGATCTTGAATCATGTAAAACTCAATGACCTCTTTATTTTCACGGTTAGAATCCTTATTTAGGATCCTTGAATCTAGTATCTAATACGTGTAACATTTATGATAAATTCCTTTAATCCTCAGAGGCTAATTCACCTGAACAGAGTTCCACTGGGAGGTAGAGAAGGGAAAAGGGATTTGCCTGGGCAACAACACACATTTATATTAATGTTCCAAAGTCAGCCAACTTCATTTTCACCTTCCACTTCTCTGGGAAAACATTATGGGGGTTTTTAGAAGTGGGATTTAACATACAATTCAGCATTAACACTAGGCCATGTTTAAAAGATATTGATTCAGACAGAAAGAATTTGGGCTCTAGGAAAACCAGCATTTTGCTTAAAATGTAACACTAACAATACACTGTGAGTTTGGTAGACTTTTCAGGATCCAATTAAAAGGTTGCTCAAAGTGATGACTAAGTGATGGGAGAAATGACAATACACAGGACCCCTGACACACCACCACCAACTTTTGACTCGGTACATAGTAAAACTCATTTTATTTTTATGTGCCTATTCATGAAAACATCCAAAAAGTAGAAATCCTCCTGTTTTTTAAAAATAGCTTTTATTACAGAAATTACTATTTTTACTTGTATATGTTAATGTATATGCTGTAACTTGCCATAAGCAAATTTCAAGGGTAGGAGTCAATCAAAATTAGTATCCTTTAAGGGAAGTTAAAGGAGAAAGGCTGCTTCTCAAGTCACAGCCAATTCGGAGATTGGCCTCATTGTAATGACTTGTCAGAAAGAGGCTAAGAGGTAAACAGGCATCATGCCAACTCTGGTTGACTGGCCAAACTGCTGATGTCATGGCTGACACCGACTTTCCCACACTTATTTCTAGCCAAGGTCAGAGTCTAGGGTGGCTGTGGGTGCTCTCCGAAGTAAACTTTGAGATCTGACTTTCCTTCCACTTGCCACAATCTGCACGATCCAGATTCCTTATTCAAGGACCTGGTGTTCTAAGATGAATGTTTTATTTCCATGCCCTCTTGGAGTTGGCTGCTAGAAAGTTTAGGGCCAAATCTGAATCTACTTTTATCAAGTGTTTTTGTGTATAAACCCCAACCCTGGTTTAATATTTTTTTCCTTTTAGTTAGATCTTGTTCTACTTATACTTTGTGTTTTATGCATCTCTACAAGTCCTCTTAAAAGAATTTCTGGTATGAGGCAATGCAAAAATAAATTGAGCTTTGGGTAATTACACTATCATGAAAGTAAATGAAAGTGATTCACGTTTATTATGTATCACAGGCTGATTCAGGGCAAATATTCCAGAGACAGAAAAAGGTAACATTGTTTAGCAAATTCAGATTCTCCCTAGGGTAATGTCAATTAATAAGAATTTAAACTGTAGGAGTTAAAAGTAAATGAAAGATTAAAATGCCCCCAAATGAATGACTTTTCAAAAACTTCTGAAGTTCCAAAAAGGTTATTAAAAATGGAATCATTCATGTTAAAAAGAAAAAAGATCTGACTGAAGGGTGTTTGCATGGCAGACTACAGCATACAGAAAACCAGAGGTGGAATCTTTATTTCACAAGTTTCAAGATACAGTACAAAACGAATCTGTACATCTCTCTATTAACAGGATTTTTTGTTTACACAATTATATTACACTTCACCAGCCTTTATATTGCATTTTATTAAATACAAAAGAAATTTACAAAAAAAGGTCTACCATGGTGTTCCTTCACAACTCCAGCTTAAAAACTTCCTTCTATGTATTCATAGTGGTTATACTTTGATCATATTAACATTATGATTTTTTCTCTTTAAATTAAAGAGGATCGTGTCAGCCTGTTTGTCAATTCACATGGGAGAAACCCTGCACATGAGATGACTTGCTGTATGTACGTACCCAAGAGATCTTTCTCACACACACAACACTGGACTTCACCAAGTCTAAATAGTCACACTAAAATCCAAATCATTTAAAAATTGGGATCATTTTAAATTCTCTGGGAATACCAAAGGAAGGAGAAATTTAGCTTCTTTCCAATGAATACTATGCATTTATACACCAGCCATTACCTCAAACAATCTGGCATCGGAAATTTTATATTTCCACTCGAGAGCAATGACTGATAAAAAATATCTCCACGAAAACAGATGTTTTCCTTTGCTCTGATTATTTGCTGCATTCTTCCAGGCATAATATTGTGTAACATATAGTAAACTCACTTTGAAAACAAACAACACCTGTTGTCACTGGGACATACATAGCCCACACTGCTCTTCTTAGCAGATAAAGGGCTGCTTACCTGAAGCATCTTGTTTCAAAATGAGCATGTGAAATGTTAGTCCAAACCTCTACAAGGAAGTTTTCTGCAGATGCAGTCAGTTGTTAACATACATGCTACACACATGAAGAGTTATGGTCTCCCTTCACAGGCCTGCACGCACACTTCCAAACACTGCTTTGAAGAACAAACATGAGCAAGGAAGGAAGGGAAAAACAAAAAACTCCTATATAAACACTCACGTTTCCTGGAGGCAACAGCAGTTTCTTAAATAAGAGAATAAGATCTTCACCAGGCCACTGGTGGAAGTTTCTAAAATTTCCCAATGGTACGAGATAAAACAGCTTAATGGTAAAACTCTCACAAATTAGCTTTATCTGCAAAGGGTAACAAATTCTCAAGAGTATCAAGTTTAATGATTCACCATTTAATATGATTTAAGTACTAAAACAATGAACTCTGGAAAAAAAAAAAAGCCCTTTTAATTTACCTTCTCTGTACCATTGACAATTAATCAAAAGTAAGATGAGCCCCACCCATAAAACATAAACAAAATCTTCAAACACATAAAGAAGGGGAAGAAACAAAACAGAACAACAAAAAACTCTATGCTACCTCTGTAACATCATAAAGAAGCAAAATGGATAGTCTCAAGTCTGTCTAAGTAGTGAAACAGTTGGCTAGCCAACAAACCAAATGCACCAGAGAGTAAATAAGTGATACAGAGCACTGCTGTCACCATCTTCTAAGGCAGGAAGACAGACTATAAAAGGGATCAGGAGAGCATGGGCTACCGAGAAGTGAAGCCACACTCTGTTAACTATAAATTCTAACATTAAAACTCCTGAATCCCTGAGTTAGTTTAATGTCACTGACATTAACTAGCTTTTGTTACTGTCATTTTATTCAAATGGATGCCATTTGATTAGGTAAATATTGAGCACTATTTTAGGAGAAATACCAAACCCAGTTCCTTTTTGCTTAGGTAACATGTCCCGTGAACGAAAAAGAGAAAAAGGAGCAAAGCATTTTGAGGTATCTTGGAATGAAGCCACAGGAACTAAGTTATTTTAAATGTACCATTCAAATTTCTGATAACAAATGACCCCAGGGTGAAAACAAACCAAGAAATGGATGTTTTGAATATTAACAATAAAAAAGGATATGGTAAGTGGAAAATGAGTAGGAAGCTTGTTATTGCATGAAGAACAAGACCACACTTTCCCATCCATCCTCAGGTAGCACACACGCCTTTAAGAAATGCTTTTTCGAAGTGTCAATGAAGAGAAGTAAAGATAGAGAGAGAAATGCTACTGCAGAGAGATGAGGTGGATGGCTGAAGGAAAAAATGGAAGTTGACAGCCATCTGGGTGGGTTTCTTGTAAATAAATTAAAGCAGTTCCTTCTGGATGGACTGTGGATCGTATTTATTTTGAAGGGTGGGGAGAAGAGGCAGAGGTGAAGATACCAAATCTCTCAAGTCTAGGAGAGCTCAAGTGCAGGAGAAGAGCTGCCCAAAGTGCTATTACACGTCTGCGGGTCAAGTCGCCTACCTTTCCTGGATGTTTTCATCCATGCAGTTCTAGGACCACCTCTTCAAACTGGGAAGCAACTTACCTGGAAGGGCAGTTGGCTTACCAGGTTTCTCAGAATAATGTCAACACAAAAAAGCAGCACAACTTCACATCTAAAGCCTTCATGCTCATCACAGACTAATACAGTTCTCAATACAATCCCAACTTCAAAAACCAAAGCCTCATCACTCTACAGGCTAAAGAATTCTTCAAGTATTCTAGCAGATGATGCACTAACAGAGAGTATAAAGATTCAGACAGATGGAGCTCAGGAGACACAGAAAGCCTGCCCAGATACTAACGTCTGAACACCACTATCTGATAATAAAAAGAAATACAAATTCAGTTTAAATTTTAATTTTCTTTTGTTTGTGTGATACATGAAATTCCCAGCTTGCCTTTGTTGTTGTTGGTTTTTTCCATATTATTTAGACAAATCTGAAGTGCAGTAGCTTTGATTTTCCTGCTGTTAACAGTGGGAGGATGATGAATCTGATAGCTTCTAAGCAAGGAGTTCACATTTTACTGTAATAGAGACAGAGAAACTGGCAGCAAGAAAAACCTACCTGAACAGTATAAAACATTATAAACAGGCTTTGGCCGTCCTCAACCACTGAGTTTCATCAATCTTTCACTCCATGAGTTTCAGTATTATAATATAGTCATGTCTGTCATACATTTCATATTTAAAGATCTCAAGAAGATGGTCTGTCTTTTGTGCTATAAGAAATGCAAAATAAAATAAATCCTGGGAACAAATGCTTCAACTTTTGGGAAAGTCTGCCTATGACCTTGGTACCCCATTCAGAGTACAGAATTAGATTCTTTTTTTTTTTTTTTTCCCCTTATTTCTCCTATTTAGTCTATCCTCTGGCTTCCAGATCAAGTCTCTGTATACTCAGACCAAACAAGCAAATACCACTGAGTAGGTGGGGCAAGTTCATGTTAGCTCAAGGACTCAGTTCACAATGTTTTATGTATATTCCATTCCAAAGACTGAAAACATAGGATTCTCTAACAACATCTTCTAATGTTTGAAGGAGAGAACTATGGTATGAAGTGTGACATCACCAGAAACCTCTCAACTGGCCCTTTTAAAATAACAAACATGCTGAATATGTATACTTGCATGTGGACAGGTAAAACAGCTTCTTAGTTATGGCATTTCAAACCACTGAAGACATCTTTCTTTCTTTAACTTAAAAGGCAAGTTACATTTTCAGACTTTCAAACATGTTAAGGTTAAACTTACAGCTAACTGGGGTTTCTGCTTTACACTGGCCAGTTTTTAGTGTTGATGCCTAAGACCTTAAAGATGGTTGATAAAAGAAGTTATGCACACTGAGAAAATGAACAAAAGGACCCAAGACAGACAGCTTGATACAGCAGAAATTACTTTGAGTGTCTCACATACGATTTCAGGGAAGGAAAAAAAAAAGGGGGGGGGGCATGGAGGGGAAGCCAATGAAGGTTGTTATTCCATATGGCACTGAAACAAACATTCAACTCAGCACAAGTAAGAGTTACTTATCCCTGAAAATAAAAGGCAGCAGATTCTAAGCAGCTTTAGGAATTAAATGCTTCCTTGTGCCTCTTCCAGGAGGTGGACATTGATCCAAAATCCTAAATCAAATGCAAGTGTTCTCAGCAAACAATGTCCTGGGTTGTCACTGTTCAAGGCTGGACACGGTGGCTGTTACTGTGGTGGCTGCTGCTCTGGCGGCCCCTCCTGCTGAGGGGGAGCTGGCCGGGGCCCCGGAGGCCTGGGCACAGGCATGTCCTGATGCTGCCTCTGCCTGTAAGCTATAACTGTTCCCAATAGTAACGCGATGATGGTCATGAGGTAAAGGTCCCACTCGGGTCCCAAGAGCTGGTCCATATCAAGTTGAGTGAACATATCTCGGATCTTAAACAAAAGCAAAATAAAAGGCATCTGATCACTCAAATGGTAGAGGAGAAAGTTATATCACCAACTAGAGAATAAATACAAACAACAAACAAACACTACCATAGAGTTGGATTTGACTCACAGCGACCCCTCCTGGGGTTTCTGAGGCAGTATCACTATGAAAGCAGATTGTCCTATCTTCCTTCCAAGGAGTGGCTGGTGGGTTTGAACCGCCAGCCTTCTGGTTAGCAGTCAAATGCCTTAGGCACTAAGCCACCAGAGCTCCCAGAGAGAGAGATAAATATAGAATTTATTAAAATACTTGGTTTTAGGAACTTTTACAATGTTTATTTAAAAAAAGGTTTTAGCATTCAACCAAAGCTCAAAGTAGTAATGACTAAGAAATTGAACTACTATGCTTTAACAGGTGACTATGTAAAATGTCTAGCAAGATTCCTTTTCCTCAGTAATTTAATGCACTCATTTCAACTGTTTCTCAACAGAAAACATTTAGAAGAAACACTGGGGAGAATAGAGGGCCACGGGGACCAACTGTCTCAGCACACCCGTGACCTGTGTAAAGTGGGGGTGCGCGAGCGGAAAATCTTGATTCTCGTGACAGCAGGGCTGCCTCGCTTCTCCCAGGTAAGTAGAGGACAGGCATTCAAATCTTTAACAGCTGAATGCACAACCCTCTCTAGTTAAGATTTAACTAAAAAGAAAAAGTAAACACTAGAAGTAAACTTAAAAGTTATGTTTTCAGCCTAAGATTTTTTAAACTGTTTTAGTGTCACTTGAGAAGTTATTCCTAGTATCTTCTGACTGCTACTTGCCCACATAGAAAGTAAACACACAGTATTGTTCTCTCCACTTAAATAAAATTGCATTTCAAAAGACCCATAACGCATAGTGCCAGGTACAGGTGCAAATATTTTCTGGAAAACAATGACAACACAGTCCTCATGGGGCTCCCTGGGGTGAACCTGTTATGGAATTAGGGTGGGGAAAGGCTTTCCTCTTCCACTTTGTGCTTTTCCAGACTGTCTGACTGCCTTATTATTGTTGTTGTTATATGCCGTCCAGTCGGCCCTGACTCAGAGCGACCCCTCCTTGGGTTTCCGAGGCAGTATCACTACGGAAGTAGATTACCCAACCTTCCTTCCGAGGAGTGGCTGGTGGGTTTGAACCGCCAGCCTTCTGGTTAGCAGTCAAATGACTTAGGCACTACGCTACCAGCGCTCCCATTTTCCATATGTTGTTGTTGTTGTTATGTGCCGTCGAGTCGGCCCCAACTCATAGCGACCCCTCCTTGGGTTTCCGAGGCAGTATCACTACGGAAGTAGGATTGCCCAACCTTCCTTCCGAGGAGTGGCTGGTGGGTTTGAACCGCCAGCCTTCTGGTTAGCAGTCAAGTGCTTTAGCCACTATGCTACCAGAGCTCCCACACTGTAACAGCTCTCTTCCTACTTCCTCCCCGTAGTTATCTCTTCCCTGTGTCCTTCTTTCCTATGAAGACCTACTTCTTTTTTTTTTTTTAAATTTGGAATATCTGGATGGTGGGATTATGGGTCATTTTCCTATCTTCTCTATTAAAAAAATAACAAAGATCTATCTACCCATCCATCCATTCACCCACCTACCCGCCTACCCACCCACCCATACATCCATCCACTCTTCCATCATCAGGAACTATAGGTACTTTAAACACAATATGAAAATGGCCGACCCCAAGACCATCTACATATAAGTATTGCTAACTGAGGTTGGAAGTTATGAAGAGAATGGGTAACCCATCTCCTATCTAGTTTCTACCATTAGCCTCTTTAAGTAATTCTAGCCATTTTTAGAGAACCAAGTTCTGGTGGCATTTTTAACTTCTGTTTCACTATCAGAAGCATCTGAGGCACAAAAGGTCGTGGCAGGCTCTCAGGTTCTTCTTTTTCCTTTTTTTTTTTTTTTTTTAAGGCACTGCTCTGAGTCACTGCCAGGCAGACATCTGAGTTCACGTTTACTGAATTTAGTTAGGCCTATTCTTTCTACTTGCCATGTGTTAGTCTCAGCATAGCCCTACACTAGAAAGTATCTGCATCGATGGACAATGCTGTAACATTGGGAATCATTGTCCAAAGGACTTGAAAACTGTAACTGCTTTGTCTACATTCATCATTGGCCTCCTTTTGCATTTCACCTGAGGGAAGAAGGGGAGAGACCTGACACTTGCAGGGCGATGTTCAAAATTCAGAGACCAGGAAGGTTACATTGTATTTTTATCGAAAGAAGCATGAACCAAGAACAAAACAGAACAAATAACCCATGAACCACTTACGTTCGTTTCCTTTACGTACTGCAGGAAATAGACAATGCCCAGCTTGCACAGTGCTAAGAAGACTGGTACTTGGGCATCTGGGCTGGCTTCAGCTGCCATGTCATAAAAACGTTTTGCAAGGTGAATATCCTATAATATAAGTAATAAGCCAAAATTAATTTCTTGTCAAAATAATAAGTGTTTATTATTTAGTTTACATATATCACAAAATTTTCTTATCTTTCAAGTTTTCATTTTAAAATGCATTTCTCTAACCTAGAAAAAAAACCCCAAGCTTTACTTGGGTAAAATTTCTTTACCTAACTGTGTAATTCTGAAATATTTAACTGAAAACTGGAAAATTTGACTCATTTTCCCCCATCCAGTATCGCATTCATTGGGCAGATTTGCTGGATATAGTCATACATCAATGCCTAACACTGTTTGCCTAGAGATTTCCCCAGCTCTAAATCTCAAGCTAATATTTTCCCACCAGAACTTCAATTAGTGTCAACACTCCTAGTTCTAGTTTGGTGCTGTGATCTTCAGACTTGGGTGCCCGCAATTTAAGACTTTCCGAGGGTCCGTGAATGGATAGTATGAAGAGACCATGTCTCAGATCCTCCGCTTCCGTTTGCGCTCCTTCCTAAATGGGGCCTCCTTGAGAACATGCCTGTGTGCACAGCAGCTTTACTTTACAAATTGAGCCCAATTCTTACTCAGGGGCACTTCCCAGGGGTGTAAACACCTCAGAGACATATATAGGGAGAGAGAATTTTAAATACTGGTTTTGGAGAAGGTTCCTTTAATGATTAATTATATACAGGGTATTCTATATTTCTTGTCTTAAGATGTATTTCTGTAAAGGCTAAACACATCATAGATTATTAATTTTGGCTCAGGTTAGAGTGTTCTGAATGCAGATATAGGGAAGAAATGGGATGGTGGGTGGCAGAGTGGGATGTCGGGTAGCAAAATGTCATGGCGAGAGTTGTGACAATTTTCATTTAAAGTTACCTTATTCCAAAAAAATAAAGCCACCTTATTCCTTCTAGGGAGCTCTGGTGGTGTACTGCCTAAGGCATTTATGCTCGGACTATTGTCAAAGAATACCAAACTCTTAAGAATTTCATGAGACTGTGGGAAAAAGCTAAACACTAAAAATGGCTTTTCTACATATTTAAATGTAAGCGATTACTTTCAGTTTTTCCCTACTCCCCACCCCCAATGTGTCCTTAGTTAAAAAGCACCTTCAAACAAGGGTAACTGTATGGTTAGTATTTCTGAGTTTTTTAAAAAATGTAACTAAATCTGATTTAAGAACACATGGATCAAACTTTTATGTGATGACAGAGTCTGTGTTGATGATTTAATGTTGTTGTTGTTATGTGCCGTCCGTCAAGTCCACCCCGACTCATAGCGACCCCTCCTTGGGTTTCCGAGGCAGTATCACTATGGAAGTAGATTGCCCCATCTTCCTTCCCAGGAGTGACTGGTGGCTTAGAACCGCCAGCCTTCTGGTTAGCAGTCAAGTGCCTTAGGCACTATGCTACCAGAGCTCCTAGATGATTTAATAGGACAATTAAAATCAACCTGATCACATCTATCTCATTATTTATTCTAATTGTAGCAAATCCTCATTTTATTTATTGCTTAATATTTTCTAGCTATGCTAGACATGGAATTGATTTGTTTTTAGTAGTATAAATCTCTCTCTCCTTTAAAAAAATAGAGAAAAGTGATTATGATGTGGTCTTTTAGAAATTAAGTTATTCTTTTTATATAACATCGATTATTCTCAAAAGCTAAACCGTGGAGTTTTCCCCCTGCCCCAATACTTTGAAGGAATACTATGCCTTTTTATAATATTTCTTATTCTGAGAACTCATAATTACCCATTATGTTACATTACAAGTTAAGAGATGCAAAAAACATTCATTAATCTATTGGTTATTAATCTATTACAAAAACAGATTATTAAAATTATCTCATTTGAATCTTGACTGCTTATTAGATGTATCCTATAAATATCATAACTTTTATGTTATCTTCATATTTCTTCTCAGACACATATTAACTTTATGTAAACAGTCAAACTTTCTGAGGGAAGCTAAGCCTGACTGGCTGAATGGTCTGACAATTGTGAAGAGTGGCTTCCACAAGCATGTTACACGGCACAAACCTTCCACAGATTGAACGCACAGAGCCTGCAGCTCCAAGGCTGGGGGAAAAAATACCTCTAACTATTTAATATTTATAGGTAAATACATGAAATTCAAAATTGATACACTGAAAATAAAACCAATATTTAAATGTGATAAGCCATTTTGTCAAAAAACCAAACAATAGTGCATTGTCATTGTTAGGTGCTGTCGAGTTGGCCATGACTCACAGTGACCCTATGTACAACAGGATGAAACACTGCCTGGTCTTGTGGCAGCCTCAAAATCCTTGCTATAACCTGAGCCCACAGTTGCAGACACTGTGCCAATCCATCTCATTGAGGGCCTTCCCCTTTTTCATTGACCATCCACTGTTGTTGTTGTTAGGTGCCGTTGAGTTGTCTCTGACTCACAGCGACCCCATGCACAGCAGAATGAAACCCTGCCTGGTCCTGCGCCTGCCTCATAATCCTTGCTAGACTTGAGCCCATCATTGCAGCCAGTGTGTCAAGCCACCTAGTTGAGGGCCCACCCCTTCTTCGTTGATCCTCCACTTTACCAAGCATGATATCCTTCTCCAGGAAATGGTTCCTTCTGACATGACCAAAGTAGGTGAGACAAAGTCTGGCCATTCTTGCTTCCAAGGAACATTCTGGCTACACTTCCTCCAGGACAGATTTCTTAGTCCTTTTAGCATAACATGGTACTCCTAGCATTCTTCTCCAACACCATAGCTCAAAAGCATCAACTTTTCTTTGGTCTTCCTTACTCACTGTCCAGCTCTCACATGCATAAGAGGCAATTGAAAAT